GTGTGGACACAGTGGGGCAAGTGTGGGTACACTGTGGGCTGGGTGTGGAGACACAATGGGGAAAGTGTGGGTAGGCTGGGTGTGGACACAATGGGGCAAGTGTGGGTACACTGTGGGCTCGGTGTGGAGACACAGTGGGGCAAGTGTGGGTTCACTGTGGGCTGAGTGTGGACACAATGGGGAGAGTGTGGGTACACTGTGGGCTGGTTGTGGACACAGTGGGGAGAGTATGGGCTGGCTGTGGGCATAATGGGGGAAGTGTGGGTACACTGTGGGCTGGGTGTGGACACCATGGGGAAAGAGTGGGAATACTGTGGGCCAAAAGTAGCGTCCCAGCTGAAAATGTGTACCTAGGGTCCCAGTAGACCTCACAGTATGCCCACACTTTGGAGGGAAATATGGACATAAACCTGTGTAGGGCCTTTGCGGACTTAACAAATAACAAAACTTTGTACCTGCAGACTGCTGCAATATTACTATTAATGCACATGCAGAATAATTGCACATGTTGAAAGTAGAAGTAATAAATGAAGAGTCATAAATTTCAAATACTTTGATTTATTCAGGGCCATGTAAAAAAATGCAGAAAATACACTGCTCAAAAGTTTAGGATCGGTATGATCTGTAAATGTTTTTGAAAGAAGTCTCTTATGCTCACCAAAACTCAATTTATTTGATCAGAAATACACGTAAAGCAGTAACATTATGAAATATTACAATAACTGTTTTAATATTAAAAAAACAGTTTTACTATTATGTTTAATTTGAATTTTCAGCAGCCATTACTCCAGTCTTCTGTGTCATACAATCCAACAGAAATTATTCAAATATTCTGTGTTGGTGCTCAAGAAACACTTCTTATCATCAGCAGTCTCGAAAACAGTTGTGCTGCTTCATTTGTGGAAACAGTGATACATTTTTTCAGGTTATTTTGAATAGAGCTTTTAAAAGAGCAGCATTTTATTTTTAAATAGGATTTTTGTCCAACAATGTAAACGTTTTTACTGTCGTTTTTTTATCAATTTAATGCACCCTTGCCGAATACAAGTAATTTCTTAAAGAAAAAAAAAACTTTCTGACCCCAAACTATTGAACAGTAGAATATATTGAATAGATTTATAAAACAGAACAATGACCAGTTATAACTACATCAGAACATTAAGTAGATATTATAGATAATTATAGAAAAATCAATCCCCTAAGGGGCACCAGTAGAGCTCTGCCTGATCTCTGATCTTTTGGTTCTTCTGCTCCTTCCACCGTCCCAAGTCTCTTACGTTACGGAGCCACTTTAATAGAAGTTTCCATTTTAGATGCTGTGGCCTGGCTGCTTTTTGTTCCAGCATCTACCTGAGAAAGAAAACAACAAATAAAATGTAAATATGTATATATATATATATATATATATATATATATATATATAAAAACTTAACAAAACCAAAGTTTCTACCTCAGGAAGTCTCCCAGGGCACTAATATTTTTTGTGGAACTTTTTTTAAGGTTAAAAATAAATGTATGCTTTATTGATGGCAGAGATACACAGAAAGTGACAAAGAGTGTGAATGAACTGCATGACTAAATGAGACAATGAGAGAGCTGTGGTTGATTGAGACTGAGATTGAGATTAAGGTAAAACTGAATGAAAGACTAAAATAATTAATTTACAACATTTTCAAATTTCAGTTCTAAACAAATGTTGACTCACATACATATCCATATCCAATATGTGTGTGTTGTGTTAATTCTTTCCCACTTCAGCTACAGAAGGCATTATTGAGTACATAATTAAAAATGGTTTTAACACAAGGTTAAGTTATATTCTGGCCAAACACTGCAATATTACTAGGGGTGACCCCGAATAGTCGACGATTCGATGCTTCGATAGGAGGAGCCCGATTAGACTACCAATCTCACAGTCGAATATTCGCAGAGGTGTTATGATCATGCTATTTTGGCTATATGAGGGTGCTCAAATGTCTGATTTAACATACCGGTTTTCTCCCAAAGTTAATATACAGCCTATTAAGAAAGAAGCTTTGAATAAATATTTTAACGTGCGTGAATAAATCCAACCACCCCTATAGATTTAAGTTTCACTTTCTATAGTCCGTGACCGACAGAGGAGCATCTTGGCGGCAGGGATTTAAAACTTTAACAAGACTCAAATTGACACAGGCAGAGTGAAAAACTGTATTTTTTCGATCAGGTAGGATACAAGTGATTTTAAAACATTTCAGCCGGTTTATATATATTGTGTATATATTATTTATCTCATATAAGATGCATTTGGTTGAGTTGCGCAGCAGTAAAGCGTTTCATGGTACGGTGATTATCTCTTCAGCATGCAGCGCAAGCAGGACAAACAACAATGCATAATATTAATAACTATAACTGGGACTGTCCAATGTTTACACTCCTGTTTTCGGAAGTCATTCGCTAGTTCCGCCTTCTCGATGACATCACGCACGTCGTTAAAGACGGCACGCGATGAATGGTCGGAAAGCAACATGTAGTCTGATATGTTTCTTGTCCACGACACAACAAGATTTTAGGAGTCAAAATTGTATAATCTGACACAGTGACTATCGTGACCGACAAAAATATTGTGTAGTCTGAGCCTGGCATTAGTCTAAATCAGTACATGTAGCAAGGTTTATATATATATATATATATATATACACACACACACAAAGAAAAACAAGTAGATAGAATAGAAAAAATAGAATAGAAAAATATAAATAATTTTATTACATTTTTTTATTAAAAAAAGAAGATAAATGTAGATAAAGTAGAATTAAAATAGAATAGAAAGTGCTAGAGTTAGAGGGTCAAATAAAGGTGGAACAGATGTGTTTTTAGTCGTTTCTTGAAGATGGTTAAGGACTCAGCTGCTCGGATTGAGTTGGGCAGGTCATTCCACCAGGAGGGAACAGTTAGTGAAAAAGTCAGTGAAAGTGATTTTGTGCCTCTTTGAGATGGCACAATAACACACCGTTCACTTGCAGAAAGCAAGTTTCTAGAGGGCACACAAGTCTGAAGTAATACATTTAGGTAAAGGGGTGCAGAGCCAGTGGTGGTTTTGTAGGCAAACATTAATGCTTTGAATTTAATGCGAGCAGCTACTGGTAACCAGTGCAAATTGATGAACAGTGGTGTGACATGCGTTCTTTTCGGCTCATTAAAGATTAATCTTGCAGCGGCATTTTGGATTAATTGTAGAGGTTTGATAGAAGTGGCTGGAAGACCTGCCAAGAGAGAATTGCAATAGTTCAGCCTGGATAGAACAAGAGCTTGAACAAGGAGTTGTGTTGCATGTTCTGAAAGAAAGGGCCTGATCTTGTTGTATAAAGCAAATCTGCAGGACCGGGC